CCAGGAAAGTTCCGGTTGCCAAAGCCTCTTTCAAAACACCATCTGCAAAGTTCAGAGCCGAATTCTCTGCCAGGATGAGGACCTGCAGAGATGCAGGGATGCCCTTGATCTCCGTGATGTTGTTGGTGGCGAGGTTCAGAACCTTCAAACTCTTGCCCAGAAGTGGCCTCCACTTCGAAAAGAGCACTCCATCCACTACTACATCCTCAGGCCTCAGATTTGTCAGGGTGCCGCTGAGTCTGCAGCCGGCAGCTTCGATTGTGGCCAAGGCTGGAGAGCCGCAGAGGGGCTGCAGCAGCTCACTGACATCACCATTAAGGGGACATCCGTTCAACTGCAAAAGGTTCAGCTGTGGAAGAATGGCACGGGCTGAAAATTGGGCGTGCAAAGGGGTCCAAACTGAGGACTGAAGCTGGACCAACTCACCAGGCCATGGAAGGAATTCCACTTGGCTGCCAGACAACTTCAGGGATCGCAGCTTTGACCAACGACCTCGCCACTCAGAGCCGAGCCGTCCTGTAACCTGCGTCTGCTCGAGGTTGATGTCAGTGACATGGTTCCAAGGAAGCAGTGCTGTCAAGTCACCTGCCACAGATGTGTTCCTGAGGTCGAGATTGTTCACCTGCGTGAGTCCTTGCAGACTCACTAGGTCACCTACAACGTCGGTGTTGTCGAGGTAGAGCCCCTGCAGCTGGGTGAGGCGTTGCATACTCGATAAGTCACCTGCCACCTTGGTGTTGTAGAGGCTGAGCGACTGCAAAAGGGTGAGTCCTTGCAGACTAGCCAAGTCACCCGCTACGTTATTGTCGTGAAGGAAGAGCTCCAACAACTTGGTGAGTCGTTGCAGGCTCGCCAAGTCACCCGCTACGTTGGTGTTGTGGAGGTCGAGCTGCCCCAGCTTGGTGAGTCCTTGCAGACTTGCCAGGTCACCTGAAACATGGGTGTTGGGGAGGTGGAGACTCCACAACTGGGTGAGTCGTTGCAGGCTTGCCAGGTCACCTGCGATGTGGGTGTTCCCGAGGTTGAGCAGCCACAGCTGGGTGAGACTTTGCAAACTCGCAAGCTCACCTGCGCAGTTTGTCTTGAGCAGGGAAAGCAGCTCCAGCTGGGTGAGGTTTTGTAGGCTTGCCAGGTCACCTCCAACATTGGTGTTGTAGAGGTAGAGCTTCTGCAGCTTGCTGAGACCTTTCAGATGCCTGACATCACCTGCGACCTCGGTGTCGCCAAGGTTGAGTTCGCACAGGGCTTTGAGCTTTCCGATCTCGTGGTCCAACGTGCCATTGATGGCCTTGTGTCCGCTCAAGCGGATCGCTTTCACATCGCATCCACTCCTGGGTATCAGTTCACATGGCAGACTTGTGCAAGAACGACTTTTCTATACAGTGAAACTGGTGTGCAGAAGTCTGCGCAGAGGTGCAGTGATGTGCTCTTCCAAATGGTTTGATGATGTTCGTTGACCAAAGTTTCCTTGGGGGACTCGAAATTCCAGTTGCAGGGCTGCCGAGTTATCAACATCAACCCGAAGGCCAAACCCATCCCAAGACCCCAAGCATCCCCAAGCCATCTCTGCGGGGAAACACCGCTGTCGAACCCAACTTTTGGTCACCGGTTGAACCGAAACCTGTCCCGCTTTCCACGGCCATGGCTAGACAAGGCTCCACTTGACTCTTGTTAGACGCGGAGTGGGATTCTTGATGCCTAATTTTGCCAAGACAGAGCGCAATGCCGGCCACTGTGGGCAACGCTCCTTTCCTTGGACACGGATTCCTTGGAGACGGATTCGGATGGCATTTGATATGCCATGAGAAAAAGGAGGTTGTGGCCGTGCAAAGGACCGAAGATCGTTGGTACCTGACCAGCGAGTGGCTCAATGTCAGATGCCAGATTTGTTTGGGAGGGTCTGGCACCACCACTACTTGGATATAAGTGAGTCATCTGATACTTGAACTCTTTTCAGAATCAACAAACATGTGTCTCGGAGCCTGTCTGTGGGTACTGCCCACCGATGTTTTCCAACGGAACTAGGCCCCAAGGGTGCCCAAAGCAATACCAACACAGCCAAAGTCACCTGCGGACACATCTTGATCGCGCTCCAGCGCGCTTTCGGAGATCCTGGGTCGTTCCCCCGCCACTTCGATGAATAAGATGACCGTCACCAACTTCAGGACATGGTAAACGTGAAGCATTTGCGTTTCACAGAGATGGATTGGTCATGATGCTTCTTGTGTTTTAGAGCATCACAAGCCTTGAACCACAAATTCCATTGCGCTGACCTGCTGGACACGAAAGACAGCGTTCCGCGTCACGGTGTTGAATGTCACAGGGTTCAGTTTCACACGCATTGCACGTCCGACTGCGACTGCTCACAAATAAGTTCTAGTAGCTGGCTGAGTTTCCCTTCACTAGCAAACAGGAATGGGGAAAAACGCTTGGGATGTTTTACATCCATGTCTTGCACGAAGCATATCTTCGATATCGTCGATATCTATGGAAACGCACCTAGCATGAAAGCCCTGCTGCGATTGTCTGAGTTTCCGACCGCACTCAACGCCACCGAAGCACTCTTGCGGCTGCAGCGTCATCTGGGCAGGGGGTTTCCCTAAGTTTGAAAAACAAATCATCTGGCTTTAGCAGGCAATTCGATGACTCGTTTGTACGTACTACATGTGTATGTAAAAATTTGTGTCTGTGCGTGCATCAAGTGCATAAGCCATTTGGTGTGGTGACTACCAGACAGAACGCCAGTAGCGATGCCAGATAAAGTACGCAAGTATGGTAGATAGAATGCCAGACAATTTGCCAAATAGAACTCAGAATATATGCCAGATAGAATGCCAGGATATCTTTGGTGGCAGAACCATTGTTGGAATACATGTCAGAACACAAGCCAGGACTGAAGTTGGTCCATATGTCATAGCACATGTCAGACAGAAAAAATGTCAGAACACACGCCAATAAAGATGTCAGAACACGATCCAGAACGTTTCCCAGCCTTTGTGATAGATGATGTGTCAGAGCACGCACCAGATTTGGTGCCAGAACAAGCGTCAGAACATCGTGTCAATCGTCTTTCAGGGTGGGGATCACTCGAAGTAATTAAGAATCTTTCTCCTGCGCTACTGAGCCAGCGCTCTCAGAAAACTGATTCAACTTAATGAAATGGCTATGGCGTGCCTGGTGGATATGCTCTTGTCAGTCCATAAAGGGTAAAAAGCAATGGGACATGAGGAGCACACGTGGTTGCATTGGTCCGTTTTCACTCTTTGGACCACATTGCGAGTCATATGAATCACTGATATTATTGCATGGAAAATACATCAAACAGCGATTGATTGAGCCAGAACTCGAATGGACACAAAACCATGCATCGGAGACAAATTGCACAAAGACAATGACCTTGAATTGAAACAGTGAATGCACAAAATTGGGCGAGCACAAAATGGGCGAGAGTGGCATGCCCATCTGCATGTTGAAAACAACTTGATGGTCGCAATGCAAATAGTTCAATCAAACTCAGCAGTCATTACGCCAAAGAAAATGTGCTGACCATAGAATCCAACTTTCCGAGCATTAGAATCACATTTCTGCAGGTCAATGCAGCTCTTGCGGCTCTTTTGTCACGAAATTTGGCGAGGAGATATGGGTGGGTCGGTTTCAACCTGGCGTGTCGAGTCAAACACGTCCAACCGGTTGTCGAAGCGGTCGTCGAATCGGCCTCACTGATGTCTCCTTCCTCAACTCCTTCTTCCTGGAGTGAAGCCATGGCCTCCAACCTACGTAATAGCGATCCAACCTAATTAAAGGCAAATTTCAGAAACCAAAGACTTTGCAACACACAAATAGTGAGACTCCTCCACTTCTGACTCCTCCGTAGAGACCTGGTGCTCCATTCAGTGTCACACGGTGTCAGTTCAGTTCTCCCTTCAAACGCCTCGCTGGGTGTGCGATTTGGATCTTCTTCGTGTGCTTGAGCCTGCAAGACCAATACATTCAAGAAGGCTTCTTGGTTGGTACTTGGAAGGCACGATCAGGCTTTGCAGAATTTCTCACCAGTCCCGATGACCTGCTGCACATGCTCGCCAAAGCTCGCCAGAAACGCTGGGATCACTTCCTGCGCTTGAAGAAGGCGCATGCAGCACGGATGGATATCCACATGTGATTCATTAGTAGCGAAGAAACCAACGCCCCACACTTTCAGATCCACATGACTTCACTATTTCGCTGCTTTCGATCCCATCCTGATATTCAAGAACCAAGCGATTCTCAGGCTCAAGCTTTAAGATTTCGCATCCAATCCTTGGGGAAATGAAACAAACAAATTAGATTTCTCTCGCGCGGACTCTTTATAAAGACTCTGGAAGACTCTCGAACTCTCAGAGACCCACCGCAGGGCTTCTTCATAACCTCACGACAAACGCGGCGAATCACCCTGAAACGCCCGGAATTTCGAGCTCCGGGGCCTTCCTTGGTGCGTAAACGTACCTGGCACGTTTAAGTCCGACACCGAAGCAACAGAACTGACTGTCTAAAGAGCACCTGCACCAAGAACTCTGCGCAAAGGACGTCTGCCTGAGAGAGAGTTGTCATGGCGCTCCCAGTTCTCTTCTCCCAAACACGACAAGTTCACATGCCTCTGCAGGTTCTGCAGTTTCCGCCGGCGGTGGCGGTGGCGGTGGCGGTGGCGGCGGCGGGGGTGGTACGCCTCAGGACAGGAACGCTCACAGGCTTGAAAGCCGGAGGCCTTCATCGATGCCCAGGACTTGCACTACCACCATTTCTGAAAAGATAGGCGCATTGAGCAAGGTCAATGCTGGCAACAGCTTGGGAAGGCTTGAACGAACTTGAACACGATCTGACATGTTACTGAATCGAATGTAAGCAACAAAAAGGCCAACACCTCAATCAACTTCAGGCTTCAAGTTCGCCCATTGGACTGAAAAAGTTCTGCTCCGCCGGCTGGTTGCTGTGTCGCTCTGGAGCAGGATAAGTATTCAGGATACTCATTGCTCTTGTAAAGCATCTGAAATCACCGGTTTGCCGGCCACAGGGAAATACCTGACGGCCACAGCGAACTTCAAACACCATCACCGCTCCATGGGAAAACGGTGGAAATACCAGTCCGCAACAAGCGACAAGAAATGCACCTGTTTCTATCGCTACTAGTAAGGCACTTGTTTCTAGTAGCGTCCTTGCTACTACTAGTAAGGCACTTGCTACTAGTAGCGATGCACTTGTTCCTAGTAGCGAACAAGTGCCTTACTCCAGAAATGAGTTTTCAATCGTAGGATCTGCAAATCCATTGATTCGACCCAGTTCTAGATCCCACTTTTGACAGCCTGGCTTCCTCTCCATCGGCGAACTTGTAAGCAAACGCACCACCTGAGAACTCAGCTTGTGAGCAAAACCAGCCGGACATGTTTCGGCCACATCGGACGGTCGCCCGACCAGAATTCGCGACGGAGACCTTGATGTCCCTTCCGCATGTTTTTACACCACATGTTTTTCGAACAAACGCGCGACGCGGTGCTACCCGGTGGCTACCCGGTTGCTACCCATGAAGGTGCTCGTCGAAACTCCGACCGACTTGTACGGGAGAACTCGATTGGTCAGGTCTGAGACACTGGGACAGTGCAAGCCACAGCTCGAAAACTCCTGGTCAAAGCATATCTGCCTCTTGAAGGTCTTCGCACACCGAATTCGTGAGAATCACAGTGTCTTGGTGCCGAATTGAAAAGAAACAGGAGGCCAGTCCGGTCAAAAGACTATTCCGGACTAGGTGTGAATGAGTTGCGATGAAACACCAAGAAAGACAATAGGCTGGTTGCTGACCGTCGAAGATTGTGAGATGAGGTGAAATCGTCAAGGCTATATCTGTCGCAAACGCCGTGATACCATGGCAACCGTTCTTTTCTTTTTGTCCGGCTCTAACTTGAGAAGCGAATCCCGCTCTGGTTGTGACAAGTTTGAACGTAACAGCGCTGCTACTTACGCCAACACTCCAATCAACACCCTAAAACTAAAGTGAAAACAAATGAGTGAACAAAGTAAGGCTTGATTATGGTACCACATGCCAAGTGAGCTGAAGACACACATCAAAGAAAAGCTAAAGTGCAACCGAAAGAAGGTGAAGCACTGTGAGATTTCAGCACGAGAGAAGTTGAAGTGAGAAGGAGGCGAAGGAGCCATGCGACTGACATCGGGATGGCCTCCAACCTACTAGCGTCATTGTTACTAGTGGCTTCTTGCCCCTAGTAGTACGGCCAGGAGCCCCTAGTAGCGTCCTTGCTCCTAGTAGCGATGCCAGGAGCCCCTAGTAGCTTTTTGTTCCTAATATCGATGGCCTCCAACCTTACACCGTCTTCTGAATCATCCCTAGTCTGTCCAAACTTACCCATTACGCATCTGAAGATGAAGTGGCTCTGGTCGTGCACTGCGCGCAAGCGGAGCGGATCCCCGTGGTCCTTGGGTCTCAGCCAAGCGAAGTGCGTGGCGCCCTTCCGGAGCAACGCCTCTAAGGTCACCTCCTGAAAGCGGCCTCGCCAGGCTCTGTTATTCATAGCGAACATTGCTCCGTGCCAGGAGCTAGCGCCCTTGCTCCTAGTAGAAATGCCCTTTGTTACTACATCTTGGATGCTCATCACATCTGTAGCTACACTGCCCCCAGATCGAGGCTCCCGCCTTGCCGAGACAAGGCCTCCGAGACCTCTTCCGGCAGCGGTGAAGAGCCACCGAAGAGCAGCCCGGTGCCCACGCTCGTTGGACCTGAAGAGAGACCGTCGTGAGACGGTCTGACTTCGCCCCAAACCCGGCCCCATCCCGAGCTCCTTTCTTCTTTTCCAAGCGTCTGATGGAGGTGGTTCCAACAACATTACAGTCCTTGTCGAAGTAAATGTATCCTGAGATCGACAAAGCAAACATGGTGGTCTATGTCTTCATACGTCTTCATTATATGTATAGTAAGAAGAAGCTACTAGGAACAAGGTGCTTCATATGTCTTCCAAAATCCTCTTTTCATCCAAAGGTCCGCCGTATTCCAAGAACGCTCGCTCAGGGCCACTTAGTGGCCAAAGCTCTGGATGCTTCGATTTGTCAACCTCGCTGCGCTGAGAGTGCTTCTAACCGGCACTTTCTATACAATTCTCATCAAGGCAAAGTTTCTCCTTGGCAACGGTCTTTCTTTCGTTTTGCCCTTTTGTACTTCATTGAGACCTTTAAGCTTTTCTATTTTCCTTCTGTTCTTTCTTCTTTCCTTGGTGATTCAAACGTTTACTCAGAATTCCACCAGCTACTCCTGCAATGCCTTCGAAAACCACTCAGGACGATGCAGGATACGCCCAGGCAAAATATGCAGCACTCTTGGGAATACCTCCAAGGAACACCCAAGAGGACAGACATCTCAAGACATTGCTATTGAGGTGGAGGCTATCGCTCTTAGGTTAGACATTAAATATTAGGATGAAGGTCATTGCTAGTTGGTTGGAGGCCATCGCTAGTGGGTTGGAGGCCATAACTAGTAGGTTGGAGGCCAGTGCTCTTAGGTTGAAGGTCATTGCTACCTGTAGGTTG